AAAAAAAAAATTTAAAAAAAAAAAAAAAAAAAAGGAAAAATGACATCTGCTTTTGTTATCAACTAGCACTCACAGTTTGTACATAATCTTTAAGTACTGATGTGGTTTTAATGCAAATCATCAGGAATACAGTTCTTTAAAACGTCCGTGTTTTCTTCTAATACTGAATTTCAGCTTCTGTTTTTACTTTTGTTTTTATTAAGTTTTCTAATTCCAGTAGAGCTAACATACAGTGTTATGTTTCGTTTTAGGTGTACGATGTAGCGATTCAGCAATTGTATACATTGCTCAAGTGCTCATGATGATAAGTGTCCTCTTTTATCCCTATCACCTATTTCACCCATCCCCCTCCCCCTCCACACACACCTCCCCTCTGGTCACCACCAGTTTGACCTCTATAGTTAAAGAGTCTGTTTCTTAGTTTGTCTCTTTTTTAAAACATCCACTTTTGAGGTCTCCAATGTCACAGAATTAGAAAAGGCTTTGGGTGCCCTAAAATCCCACCATTTATCCAGGCTCTGCTGTCTGCAGTTCTTGTCTATCTTACTCTTGGGCCTATCTCCTCCTCCCGTCACCACTGGCTTCATCTCGGGACCTTTCTTTCTAAGGAAGGCAGAATTACTGTGGATACTATGGCCAGAATTTTCAGCCCGTCTTTACCACCTCCAGGCAAACAACCATCTTGTGTCCAGGATGAAGAGAAAGTACGTTGCGGCCAGCGCCGGCTCTAATGGAAATAATACGCTGATGTATCTTATTATAGGTGAAATGCTTACCTCAGCTGCCAGGGGCTTATTGATGCTGTTCACAAATTTGTTCACATGTTCAAAGTGTTTTGTCATCTCTGTTGCTAAAACCATGTCAATAATAGCCTGGCGTAGTGTTCGATAATGGTTCCTAAAATAACCAGAAGACACAGGGCCTTGTTCATATCACGTCCAGAATTAGAACTGTTCTGCTACCATTTCACCATACTTCCCACACCATACGAGTCAGCTGGGGACACAGAGTTAAGAAATGAGTGCAGATCATAAAAAATTTTACCTGCCCCTCTTTCCATTATGCCAGGACTTGATGACACCATTCGATTTTCCCCAGTGAAGCTGACTCTTCCTTGTATGGGGTGTGTGTGTGTGTGTGTGTGTGTGTGTGTGTGTGTGTAGTAACTGGCACATAGTAGCCACTTATTTTACAACGTGGTTTCCTTCTACCTTCCCTTGGAAACGTATCAATAGTAAGATAGAAGGAAATGCCAAGTTCCTTCCCTACAAGACTGACACAGCAACCTGATGAGCTGTCCCCGTTATATTCGGCACACAGTGATTTGAATTACAGAGAACTGTCATTACTTCTTTAGATGATGGTAGGGGAATAATGTTTTCCCACTAATAAGTAACTAACTCATAAATATGGAGAAGAAACTGAGAGTTGCTGGAGGGGTTGTGGGAGGGAGGATGGGCTAAATGGGTAAGGGGCATTAAGGAATCTATTCCTGAAATCACTGTTTCACTATATGTTAACTAATCTGGAGGTAAATTTTAAAAAATAAAATATAAAATTTGAAAAAAAAGTCATTCTCTAAAAGAGAAGTGACAACGCATGGGGCAACAAACCTGCCAAAACATTACTCTCCAGGTCCTATCATCTTTTTCTAACTTTCAGGAGCCAGAACGGGGAGCTGAATAAAATTGGCTCTTGGATAAAATTCTTTCAGTCAAAGTTTTAAAAATTAAGCCTTGATCCTGATGAAGTTTAAGTTGAAGGTAGAATAACTGGTCTCCATGTTTTCGCAGATGTCTGGAAATCAAAGTGATAGGTCCATGTTGACAAGTGTTCCCCAAGGCCCAGGTGAGCCCTGTGCTCTGTGTAGCCTGCCCTGCCCCAGAAGTCCGCTCTCCAGCCTGGCTGGTGCCGTGTGGCAAACAGCCATCGTCTGACTGCAGGCCTGTGGCAGCCAAGAGGAAGTGCTCCTCTCGGTTCACAGCTGGCCAACTTTCACCAGACAGGAGTACAAGAGCCAGGGGGAAACCTGCCCAACCCTCTGGGCTCTAACGACTCTGCCGGGACCTGTGAAACCACGCCACCTCCTCGTGAGTTAGGATTTTAAGTGGCAAAAACTCAACTGGGGAAAGCCAAGGAAAGATGCATTTTCCGGGAGTTACACAAAAGGCAGGATGTCCCCTGGGAGGATAAAAATATCTGCTGTACTTATTAGACAACCAGGGTTTTAAGCGTTTTTGCGCAGTGTGTCAAACACGTTTGTGAACTCAATGAAGAGCAAATGAAATTCAGAAAGATGAAAGCAGTCTGGAAAGTACAAGTAAGCTTATAAGGGCAAGGTGATTACTATAGCGTCTGGTACAATGGTCCAGCTATTGTTACTTCCCCCTTTCCCTGCCCTAAGAGAAGCTAAATACTTGGAGAAGTTACGTAAGACTGAATGTCCCACTACTGTTTCACAAACCCGAGCAGAGGAGCCCAAGCACAAACCTGTCAATGTTCTTGAAAATGTTGCATTTGCTGTCCTTGACCGTGAGCTGGAAGGCCAGGGCGGTGTGGTGACTCTCCAGGACAGCGGTGTCATTATAGAGCACAGCGAGTTCACTGCCTGCGTTGCACAGGAACGAGTTGGTCCTTCCCGGGTGATCCACATCGTGGACTGTGGCGGCAATCAGCGCTGCCACCTCGTCCAGCTGATCGAGGCTTCCCTGGGGTCACGAGGAGGCAAGGCTGAACGTTATCCACTGAATGTCAGGATCCTACACGTCTCTCAGGGGATGGGCCAGGGGAGTTGGGATTATCAGAATGTTCGCTTAGTCTGATGAGCCTTCTCTGACTTCCTGGAAGTTGAGAGGCTGCCTAGGATATATCACATCACCTGGTGTTGCTGTGGATTATGTGGAAGGAAACAGAAATCTGAGTTGTCGTATGTGACAGATGTATCATCACAGACACCGAAATTCTTTTCCCAGGATCTGTTCACTTCAAGTCCTTTGCAGGAAGAAGCCAAACAGGACTTTTCAAGTGTTTGCCCTGTGGTATTTATTGCTGACTCTTTTCCACACGTGAAGAGCAGAGAGTGGCCTATGATCACAAGTATTACTTATTTTGTTTGCTTACTTAGGCAGAGATTGAGAGAGTGGCAGTAATGGCACAAATACAACCAAACTCTTCACACAAAGGTGAAAAGGGGTAAAGCCAAGCAGTACAAGAGCATCAAGGACAAGAACAAGAACTTTCCCATGAAAACTGAGGCTAAAGGGGCTCTTGCAATTAAGAACAAAATTCAGCTCTAGGTGAGCAGGTGGCAGAAGCACAAAGGGAGACCCTGTTTCTACAGCTCTTGGTATGTAATGTAAGAACACAAACCAGAGCAGAAGGGCACACGGATGTTCTCTCAGATCACAGCCTTAGGAAGAAGTTATTAAATGGGCTACTATTATATAAGAGATCCTGTACTTCAGGAATTCATTCAGTAATCATTTATGATACACTTACTGGGTTCCAGCTGTGACTCAGAATGCTGGCACTACCATGATGAACTACACTGGCATGCTCTCTGCACTAATGGAATTGATAATTTCCTGGGGAAGGCACAAATCACACACACACACACACACACACACACACACACACACACACACTTGGTCTTAGCCAAAAGGCCGAGAAGTGATCACACACACACACACACACACACACACACACACACACGTAACTGACTGTGAAATGTGCTAAGAAGAAAAGTACAGATGCTTTGACAGAGTAACCCCAAGGCCTGATCTGGTTTAGGGCAGTGCTGTTGGCTCAACTCTCTGTGACGATGGCAATGTCTGTGCTGTCCATATATAAACCCTGGTCACACGGAGCTACCAGACACCTGAAATGTGGCCAATGCAACCGAAAACTGCATTTTTTCATTTTATCAGCATAAAAGCCTGAAGGAGAAGCAGAAATTAGCCGGGCAAAAAATGACGAGAGAGAGAATGCCAGGCAGAAAGTCTACATGGTGTTCCTGAGGTCAAAGAAGTGGTTTATTCAGGAAACTTAAAGAGCATCACTGTGGCTGAAGGGTAGTGAGGAGGGGAAAAGTGGTACCCAAGAAGAGGCTAGAGGGGCAGGCATAATTTTCTGGCATTACAGAGTTGTTCCCCCAGGCTGTGGGAGGTAAAAATGCCAACTGCTTCTCAGACCCTAATGGGTAAGGGAGCAATGAGTCTGAAGCTAGCCCTGAAAGGTTTCTTGAAAGCTGTCCCTACCAGAAGACAGCCATTTTCCTTTCCAACCCTGACCACCTGGAGCAGGAGTGGGCGTGGGGTGGGGGGCAATTCCTGGCTTGGCCCCAGTCCACACGTATAGCTTTCCTGACCAGGGACAGCACTTGATGCTGTTCCTTTCAGCTCTTTTCAGACACTGATGATTGTATAATGCCCAGAGCAAGCAGAAAAGCTGGCCCCATTTTGCCTCTGGTCAGGGAAGTGCAGTCAGGACCCAAAGCTGCCCTGATGGGGCTCTCCTCTGACTCCACCTGTGCAGGGAGGACCCATGGAACCCACACTTTGGGCCCTGCAGCTAGTGGTCCTGGAGTATGTTCCACCTTGACTGGAGCCTGGGGCCAAGTTGTTTTTAGTTCTTTCAGTAAAAGAGACTCAAGTAACTGCAGCAGACCCACAAGTGGCATTAGATGAGACATGTCTTTTCTTCCAGCCTACACTGATTTAAACCTGGGGGTAGTTGTGGTGGGAGGCGGGAGAAGAAGGCTGGGCCTACCTCCCCACCCCCCCAGCAGATGGAAGAAGCAAGCCCTTCCTGTGGGAGGGAGGGACCGTCTGCGGAAGAAAACTTCCTCACCAAACCCACAAGAGGAGAAATTTCAGACCTTTGGAGATGCAGAGAGTTCCGCACCATTTTTGCCTTCTTTAACCAATGGGAGTAGATTTGGATCACCCTGAGGCAAACTGGCCAGACTGGCCCCCATTTCAGATGAGCCTTTCCAACAGTTCCTTCCCTACGACGGTCACCTACACCCAGAGAATAACAACAGAGTGCTGGCTACCCTGAGCGCTCTAGTTGCAGTAGTTCCTGGGAATCGGGAAGAGTAGGGGGAAGAGAGTATCTGTGACAAATTCAAGGGGAAGGTCAGCTCTGGGCATGTTATCCAGCTGGCTGGGGTGGGGATGTGGAGCTATGTCACAGTGATACCAAGATTTTTAGTCTAAGCATAAAGAAAAGAGGGTGACGGATGGGTATTCGGTAAAAACACATTTCCCTGACTCTCCTCATCAGTGGCAGCAGGTCTGGCACAAGAGTCCCCAGGATTAAATCCTGCTCACAATGCCTCACGGTGGACTAACCAGTGGTCTGGGGCTGCTGACTCAACCTTTGAGATAAGGAGCCCCCTCCACCTACTTCTCCAAGGTTCCTGGCAGTTCTAAATTTCCTGATTCTCTGGCAAGACTGTCAGAAAATGTCTTTTGAATTTGAAGTAATTATAGTCTTAGCCTTGTTTCTATTGCTACTTGAGAAATTCAATCAGATTTTGAATATGCTAGCAGAACTCACAATCTAAAGAAAAATTCCTGGGGGAGGGAGAGTATGGGAGGTGATAAAGTGACCAAGAGTTCCCTGATTTATCAAGCATTTAATGTGTATTTTTATAGAGTCGTTCTGCTTAAGTGAGGGTCATCTTTACGTCCTGCCCTCAACTTTGCAGTGCACAGCCTCAGCTGTCTAAGGTTTCATGCAGTGTAAAATGGAGGAACATGAGCCTGGAGTAGGAATCTCAAAGTGTCTTAGCTCTTCAAAGGAACGTGCTATCCCAACAAAGCCTGAGGTCACCTTTTTGAAAAGGAGGTGATAAAAGTCTTCAAAAGCATCATTCTTGGACCACATTCTTTACTTTGCTGATGATGAAAGTGAATACCAACATTAGCTTTTGGCAACAATGGGAAGGAAACCTCCTCTTTCCCCATTTTGGTTCCATTTCTAGCTCCTGCTACCTGTCCTGCTATCACTCTTCTAAGTAGCCAGGGTCTTAAGACTAAGGAAATGATCTAACGTCAGGCCGCTAGAGGTTGATAGGAATTGCGGTGTCTATATAGTACTTCTCGCAGGGGCATCTACATTCTAAGCTTCCGTTTTAACTGTAGCAAAGGAATTACAAGCTTCACTGCAAGTGATAGTAGTTGGGAAGGAGGAGAGATGGAGATCTCTTGCCAGCTGTACATGGGGTGTACGTAGGGCTGTCCTATAAATCAGCACCTATTCATAACAGTACAGGTGCTTCTAAGTAAGATTAAGGGACGTGGAACTCCTTCAGAATGATTATGCAAGTCATGAATGTAGGGTGTACACATTCACACCTACACAAAACACACACGTATATATGTATGTATATTAGTAGAATGCTGAATGGCTCCTAACTGTCTGGGTTATCATTCACCAATGGCCAAATTGTGATCCTAAAATGTAACCTCTAGACCTAGTAGCCATTTGCTGTAATAACTAAGTCCTGTCCTCTAATTCAGTATCACAACGGGCTCCCAGTGAATACTTGGAGAATAGGTTCATGAATCCGCCAGGCATGTAAGGGAGTCTACAGTGGCATCAATTATTGTTTTAGGCCTTTGCAAGAGGGGAGAGCTGGAAGCAAAGGCCATGTCTTTACAACACCAACATGACAAGTTAATTTGGTTGCAATTTGTATATATATAAATAGTTATTTGCCTTATATGTTTATTAAGATTGAGCTCTTGGACCTCCAATCTAAGCAGGTAACTAGATCATGATACCGAAATGCTACCTTTACTCTTTCCTTTCCGAGGAAGAAGGCAGTGGCGTGCAGGACATCGGCGGCATGGGTGGAGTTATGATAAGCATTGGAAGAGTGGTAGTTGGCCTCAATCACTTGGAGCCAGGCCCGAAGAGTAGTTTCAGAACAGTGTAAAAATTCACAGACTCCAAACCGGGAAAATACCTTTAAGCCCAGGTAAACCAATGGCCTGGAAAACAGGAAAACAGACCCTGATTCATTGTGTTCACTGGTCTAGAAACTGCTTTCTTTGATGACACTGGGGAATAGAGGCATTTTTCTTGTGACGTTTACTCCGCATGAACAAGAGCTTAAAAAACATCCCCTCCCCAAATTAGGAGATAGAGCATCTCCTCATCAGTCACTTCTTTACAACTAGGTGCCTCATGGTGGTCAATCCAAATGACTTCTCGATTATCTTAAACTCAGACGGCCTTCAGTGACTCTAGCAACCAAAAAAGATCCCTCTCCATCTCTACTTCCATATAACCTCTGTATTTCCTCTGTGTCGCCTCACAAAGTTACTGAGCCTAGGGACAGTGGTGTCCGTAGAGTCCTACCATTTATACTCATATTACTTAGATTTACAGGTGAGAATCATTCACATGCTATAGACCAGCATCCCTGAAAGAAAGAGCTGTCTCCTACTATAGAAGAGGACTTTCTGACTTATTTCATCTTCTCCCTGCCTACAGGATGGAACAAAAGTCAAGTCTGTAGTGCTTTCAAATTGATTTTGTAAGGTCTAGCTTCAACAAGTTTGGGGCCAATAGTGCTTGGAACTCTCGGCTCACTAGCACAAAGGAACGACCTGGATAAATGTGAAAAGGACACTCAGTAAGTCCTCATCCTGGGTCATCACCAGGCTAATCCCACATCTTACCCACTCTGTCTCCATAAAGGAGCTCACTCAGGGGCCACAGTCTCTGCTTGTACGACATCCCAGCAAGGCATGAAAAGTAGAACCTGTGAAGTTTCTTGTGGCAAGAACTCACGTCTCCCTCAAAGTTTCCAGATGTGAAAGTCTTGAGCGTGGCCATCAATCTTTCCCCACCTGCAGCCAGAGAAGCCACATACCTTTTATGTGTAACAGCTTCCAATTCAAAGATGTTGAACTCCCAACTTTCCTCATTATCAAGTAATTGAGCGATACAAGGGGGGACATCGTTGATGGTTATTGGCATCGCAAGGTGACTGTGACTCTGGTGCACATCTGAGCAAACAGACGGGGTTGAGGAGGCTGGTTAATTGTGGAATCTTAAGTGCCCCCAAACATTTGTTAGCATCTTCATGGTTGCTACTAGAAAGAAGTCTTGAACTTGCAAGGGTTAAGATTTTCACTTTAGGGTTCTTCTCTTGAAACTTCCCCCAACAAAAAATAAAAATAAAAAAGTAATTCCATTTAGCTGTCTGTTTGAATGTACACAGAGTTGCAATTCCTATTCTGACAGTGCTCACAGAAGTAATTTTAATTAGGAGACCTGGTTTCAAGTGCAGACTACAGGGATGGTTAACTCCAATGAGACCAACAGCAAGCCACACCAAGGCCCTCCCCAAACAAAAATCACAACACTGGAGAAGGCACAGGCTGGAGACAGGTTATCAGTAACAAGTGGACAGATGACAACTTACTCTTAGTGAACACATACTCGTTTCCTGACAACCTTCTCAAGCCATCCTGGAATAAAGAAAGCTACTATTAGAAGCATACTTTGCACGCGGTTATCATTATTCTCTCATTTCTTCCATTAGCCAAAGATGAGGCTCAAAATGAACAGTATCCAGAAGACAGAGGACACTCCCCCTTCCATAGCTATTAGCCCCAGGAGATGGAGAATTGAGAGTAAAATGGATAGGACTTCATCCAGGTTTCACGCCTGACCTCTGAGCTGCCTTCGTTGCCTTTCTCACACCATCCTTGTCTTCTGGCTTCCTGAAGCCACATTAGTGAACTCACGGAAGGGATCTTGCTTTTGGATGCAGGTTATTTTGAAGAGACCCCACTTACCCTTCTAGGTACTATGTTATTCTTGTGTCCTCAGATTTACAAACTGGGGACCCAAAGCCATGGGCCACATTTTGGGGATGATTTAATGTAAAGCTTTAAAAAGGTTGGGCTAATTTTTGATTAGTATCTAAATTTTTTTTTTTTCCAACTGTGTTTTCTGCTTTGCAACGTGAACATTGCAGTTGGCCTTTAAAAGAAAACTTTCTGGATTTGAGATCTTTGGAAGGGCAACCTAAGGGAGTGGAAAGAGTCCTAACGATCTGCCATTTACTAGGCTGGTGATGTTCTTGCATGTCAGTTCCCCTTCCCTCCACTTTCTACCCTTGAGTACCTAATTATTTAGATCTTTGCTTAAAAATCATTTATAATTGCTTATTTGTCTCCGTAGAAAGTGTGTGCTAAGTTTTAAAGTATTAATGAAGGGCTCCCCTGAAGTCACACCTTGGGACCTTTAGGCCAAGAGCTGAACTTTTAAAACTCTATAAATAGGTAGGTGACAATGGCTACAACCATCCCGCCTCTAAGGTAGGTATCACAGGGCACTCCCCTGCTTCTTCTTTGCCTTTCTTTTTCCTCTTCTCTAAAACTAAATAAAAGTGGAATCCTACACTAGTTCCTCACAGCAGGACCCAGAGAGGAACCACAAGATGGTATGGCCACAGGGGGAAGAGGCAGATGACTTGGTTCCAGAAACTGAAGTCCTCCTGATGCGGTGCTGTGGCTGCCCTCCTGACTGACCCTTGCCAGCGCTCTCCAGAGCTGAAGCCTGTGCTGCACTGGGATGGGATGACCAAGGCCAGCCCAGGGAAAGGAAAGGAACAGGAAGTCACTCAAATTACAGGCTCATCGAAGACCTTTTGCAAGAACAGGGAGAATGGACTAGAAAGCCAGTCAACGCTCAGCATTTGGTGACAGGGCTAGACACAAACCTTCAAAGTCAAACTCTCAGATGCCCCTGGAGTCTGTTTCACCCCAAGAATTCTTTGAGCTTCACCCTCTGATAAGAACTACAAATGAGTAATTTGAATCTTCTTCTTTTTCTTCACTTGCTGATAGATGGTGATTACAGCCAAACACTAGAACACACGAGTCCTTAGAAATCAGCTACTCTTGGTGGTGACAAATGGTGGTGGTATTGGTGTGCTGGGAGGGGGTGCTTCCTTCTCCCTCCCCTATGGAGCCAGAACAGCTCTGCTCTGCTTTTATTGGATTATAAAGGGAACTTCTATCTAACTTTTTATTTAAAGAGAGGATTCTAGAGCTGAGATTTTGGGAACTAGTGCTATAATCTAAGTACAAACCTTTTCATTACATAGAAAGCCTGTAGTCCAAGGAAACCTACCCATAACCCTCAATCCAATACTGCACCAGGTCAAGGGAGAGAGGTAAACAAGGGTCCCGTGGTGCATATTTAGCTTTCAATCAACTGCTTCTTTACTCCTTATTGTAATGAGGATTTTGAAGGACTGTCCCCCATTGCTATAATCAGTTAGCTTCATGGAAAGGTAAATTCAAGAAATATTTGAATTATACCACACATATAATCCAGAAATTTTGACACGGATGCTTTTGATTACACTGATGTTAGCCCCCACAGCAGATGTTTCTGCAACTATATGCAAGTTTAAATGTTACATATTATATGTGCTCTAAAGGGCATTTAATGTTGTCTCCCTGCATTTCCGGTTTTCCCTCATCACTCACGGTCATCAGGCCTCCAACAAGATCACTGGTGTGAGGATCTTCATCTTTGGTTCCAAGCTGAGGGGAATACAGTTCCGTGGTCCGTAAAATTTCCAAAACTCTATCCAAGGCTTCTGCTACTGTCACGGGGCTGTTTTCTTGGGCTGCATTGATTATATTTATAACCTAAGGAAATAAAGAGAGAAAGAACAAATTTGAGAATATAAGAATTCTAATTCCCAAAAGTCAAACACATGCTTGCAACCCAAAAGAAATCAGAGAGTGACACATTTTGTTGTTCAAAATGAGCAGGGTTTTCACGGAACCACTCCATTCTTACTGCAACATGCCTTTCCTCCCAACCTCTCCAGGTTGTTCTCCCACCTCAGAGACCACATTTTCTTCAGCTCCTTTGCTGATCCTTCTCTAGCTGTCTCCTGCAGGTTGGAGCTCCTCAGAGATGGGTACGGGGCCTTTCACTCCACAGTCCTTCCAGAACCCAGCTATTCCCATGAGTTTGGACACATATGACCTACAATGCCAAGGGCTCTCAAATTTATATCCCTGCCGGAACTCATTTTTGACCTTCAAGTTTGTATAATTCAATTACCCATGTGACCCATCTATTGGAATATCTTGCTCACATGTCCCAAACTAAATTCATGATATTGCTCCCTTCTCCCCAAAGCAAGGAAAAAAGTGGACCAAAAAAGTGAGACAACAGCTCCTTCTCTGGTTTTTACACTAGAGTGAAAAACAAACAAAAACCAAACAACAACAAAACAACTTCTATCTGCCTGTGCTCAAACTCAGAACCTGGGTGGCCCCAGCTGACAAACAGCTTTCTCTATCACCCTGATAATGTTATTCATCATCCAAATGGATTCTATCCCTGAATATTTCTTGATCTATTCATTTCTAACTCCACTGCTATGACTGTAGTACAGTTACCACCATTTCTTGCCTGTAATTCTGGAAAAGCCCCCTAAGTGGCCTCTTCTCTTTCATTCTTGCCATCTCTAGTCCATTCTCTGCATGGCAGCTGGGTGTTCCTTTTAATAAACAAACTGGATCATGTCATTCCTCGACTTGAAACTCTTCAGTGGCTTCCACTGCACAGAAACTAAAATACGAACCCCTCCTTCCAGCTCCATGTCACCATCTTCTCCCCTCTGCCCTCCAAGCTCTAGCCACCTGAACTTTCTTTCAAGTCTTCAAATACTGCAATCCTCCTTCTCTCACCTCTATGCTTCATCTCTTGCTGTGCCTACTGCCTAGAATTCTCTTCTCCCACCTCGTCTTCTAACAGCCTTGCATGCTTCAGTTCTTACTTCAAGCATCATTTCCTCTAGAGAGAGACTCTGTCTGATCACCTCACCTAAGGTAAATAGAGCCATAATCTGATTTTCTCTTAGAACACTATTGTTTTCCTTACTAACAGTCAGTGTAATTTAGAACTACAAATTAATTACGTGTTTATTTAATATCTGCTTCCTCTACCAGACTGTAAACTCTGTGTTATCAGTGACAAGTCATTTATCACGTCTGTCTGTAGAAACGAGCCCAGCGCTGGGCAGCCCTGATTGCAGAGTGGAGGCAGCAGCTGTCACTCACCTTTGTGATGGGAGCTTCGATGGTCATGGAATGGATCCTTGCCATGGATGGATAGCGACGATTCTGGAGGCTTGGTGCTGGGGAGAAGTAAATAAAGTTGTATCTGGTTCTGGTGGCTAAGCTTGGCTAAATATAGCAAAGGAGCCCTTCACAGACTGGGGACCTGATTCTCACCGGACTGCATCCCCAGGGCCCTCCACAAAGCAAAGGATTCACGCATCTTTTAATCCTAAAAGGTTGAGAGGTCAGCCACTACTTGACCAAGTCTAGAAAGTGTGGTTTGGTCTGGAACTATGACGGAAGAAAGGCTTTAGGAGTATTAGTTCCATAAGGGAAATTTCAGAGAAGGTTAATTGGGATCCTGAGGCCCCATCTCAACAGCCTAATATACCCTACTCACTTTACTATAAATCACCAAAGCCCAACTTTGACAGTTCCTAACTTTCAGTTCCCAGCTTCTGGCCATGGGACTGGATAAGGATATATATTTATAGATCACATCTTCTTTATCCATTCATAGATTGTAAACACTTGGGCTGCTTCCATAATTTGGCTACTGTAAATAATGCTGCAGTAATCATAGAGGTGCATCTATCTTTTCAAATTAGTGGTTTTTTTTCCCCCTATGGGTAAATACCCAGTAGTGTAATTACTGGATCTTATGGTAATTCTTTGAGGAACCTCCATACTGTCTTCCACAATGGCTCTATCAATCTGCATTCCCACTGACAGTGCACAAGGCTTCTTCTTTCTCCACATCCTCACCAATGCTTGTTATTTCTTGTATTTTTGATTTTACCCATTCTGACAGGTGGCAGGTGATATCTCACTGTGGTTTTGTTCTGCTTTTCCCTGATGATGAGGACTGTTGAATATCTTTTGGCCATCTGTATGTGTTCTTTGGAAAAATGTCTTCATGTCTTCTGCCTATTTTCAATCTGATTGTTTTTGTTGTTGAGTTGTGTAAATTCTTTATATATTTTGGATACAACCCTTTATTGGCTATGTGTATTTGCAAATATATTTTCCCATTCACTTGTTTTTTAGTTTTCTTATTTTTTACTTTGTGAAAGCTTTTTATGTTGGTGTAGTCCCAACAGTTTGTTTTTGTTTCCCTTGTCTCAGGAGACATATCTAGAAAAATGTTGCTACAGCCAATGTCAGAGAAATTACTGCCTCTGCTCTCTTCCAGGATTTTTATGGTTCATGTCTCACATTTAGGTGTTTAATCCGTTTTGAATGTATTTGTGGGAATGGTGTAAGAAAGTGGTCCAGTTTCATTCTTTTGCAGGCAGCTTTCCAGTTCCCTCAACACTGTTCGTTAAAGAGATTATGTTTCCCCATTGCATATTCTTCCCTCCTTTGTCAAAGATTAACGGGCCATATCATTGTGGGTTTATTCCTGGGCTCTATTCTCTACCACTGATCTATGTATCTATTTTGTGCCATTACTATACTGTCTTGATTATTACAGCTTTGTATTATATCCTGAAATCTGGGATTGTGATATTTCTACTTTTTTCTTTTTCAAGACTGCTTTGGCCATTCGGGGTCTTTTGTAGTTCCATACAAACTTTAGGATAATTTAGTCTAGTCCTGTGAAAAATGTGGCTGGTATTGTGACAGGGATTGTATTAAATCTGTATATTACTTTGGGTAGTATAGACCTTTTAACAGTATTTGTTCTCCCAATCCATGAGCATGGAATATCTTTCCATTCATTTGTGTCATCTTTAATTTCTTTCATCAGTGTTTTAGTTTCATAGTACAAATCTTTCGCCTCCTTGGTTAAGTTCATTCTAGGTACTTTGTATTTTTGGTGCAATTGTAAATGGAATTGTTTTCCTAATTTCTCTTTCTGCTACTACATTAGTAGTGTAGAGAAAGGCAAAAGATTTCTGTACATTGATTTTGTATCTTGTGATTTTAAAGAATTCATTTATCAGTTCTAGTAGTTTTGGGGTGGAGTCTTTGGGATTTTTTATATACAGTATCATGCCATCTGCAAATAGTAGAAGTTTTATTCTTCCTTACCAATTTGGATACCTTTTATTCCTTTTTCTTGTTTTATTGCTGTGGCTAGTACTTCCAGTACTGTGTTGAATCAAAGTGATGAGAGTGGACATCCTTGTCTCATTCCTGATTTTAGAGGAAAAACTCTTAATTTTTTTGCATTATGTTACCTGTGGGGTTTTTATATGGGCTTTATTACGTTATGTTCCCTCTAAACTTTGTGGAGGGTTAGTATAAATGGAGTTTAGGCTTTGTCAAATGCATTTTCTACATGTATCGAAACGATATGATTTTTATCCTTTCTCTTCTTGATGTATCACATTGACTGACTTGCAAATTCTGAACCTCCCTTGTATCCCAGTAATAAGTCTCACATGATTGTGGTCAATGGTTTTTTAATGTATTGTTAGATTCGGTTTATTAACAATTTGTTGTGGATTTTTGCATTTAAGTTCATTAGACACATAGGCCTGTAGTTCCCTTTTTTTGTAGTGCCTGTATATGATTTTTTAAAATATTATTTAAAATTTACATCCAAATTAGCATATAGTGCAACAATGATTTCAGGAGTAGATTCCTTAGTGTCTCTTACCCATTTAGCCCATCCCCCCCCCCACAGCCCCTCCAGTAACCCTCAGTTGGTTGTATTTCCCTGATGATGAGTGATGTTGAGCATTTTTTCATGTGTCAGTTGGCCACCTGGATGTCTTCTTTGGAGAAGTGTCTATTCATGTCTTTTGCCCATTTCTTCACTGGATTATTTGTTTTTTGGGTGTTGAGTTTGACAAGTTCTTTATAGATTTTGGATACTAACCCTTTATCTGATACGTCATTTGCAAATATCTTCTCCCATTCTGTCGGTTGCCTTTTACTTTTGCTGATTGTTTCCTTCACTGTGCAGAAGCTTTTTATTTTGATGAGGTCCCAATAGTTCATTTTTGCTTTTGTTTCTGTTGCCTCCAGAGACGTGTTGAATAAGAAGTTGCTGTGGCCAAGATCAGAGAGGTTTTTGCCTGTTTTCTCCTCGAGGATTTTGATGGCTTCCTGTCTTACGTTGGGGTCTTTCATCCATTTTGAGTTTACTTTTGTGTTTGGTGTAAGAAAGTGGTCCAGGTTCATTCTTTTGCATGTCGCTGTCCAGTTTTCCAAGCACCACTTGCTGAAGAGACCATCTTTATTCCATTGGATATTCTTTCCTGCTTTGTCAAAGGTGAGTTGGCCACACGTTTGTGGGTCCATTTCTGGGTTCTCTATTCTGTTCCATGGATCCGAGTGTCTGTTTTTGTACCAATATCATACTGTCTTGATGATTACAGCTTTGTAGTATAGTTTGAAGTCTGGGATTGTGACGCCTCCTGCTTTTTCTTTTTCAAGATCGCTTTGGCTATTTGGGTTTTTTTCTGGTTCCATACCAATTTTAGGATTGTTTGTTCTAGCTCTGTGAAGAATGCTGGTGTTATTTTGATAGGCATTGCATTGAATATGTAGATTGCTTTGGGTAGTATTGACATTTTAACAATATTTGTTCTTCCTATCCAGGAGCATGGAATCTTTTTCCATTTTTTTGTATCTTCAATTTCTTTCATAAGCTTTCTCTAGTTTTCAGTGCATACATTTTTCACCTCTTTGGTTAGATTTATTCTTAGGTATTTTATGTTTTTTTTGTGAGACTGTAAGTGGGATCGATTCCTTGATTTATCTTTCTGTCACTTCATTGTAGGTGTATAAGAATGCAACCAATTTCTGTGCAATGATTTTATATCCTGCAACTTTGCTGAATTCATGAATCAATTCTAGCAGTTTTTTGGTGGAATCTTTTGGGTTTTCCTTATAGAGTATCATGTCATCTGCCAAGAGTGAAAGTTTGACCTCCTCCTGGCCAATTTGGATGCCTTTTATTTCTTTGTGTTGTATGTATATGATTTTGATATCGGGGTAATGCTGACCTCATAGAATGAATCTGGAAGCTCTCCTCCCTCTTTGATTTTTCTGGAATAGTTTGAGAAGAAAAGGTATTAATTCTTCTTTAAATATTTGGTAGGATTCAACTGTGAAGCTGTCTGGTCTTGGACATTTGGTGGGAGTTTTTGATTACTGATTCAATTTCCTTGCTGGTAACTGTCCTGTTCAAATTTTCTATGTCCTTCTGATTTGGTTTTGGAAGGTTCTGTGTTTCTAGAAATTCATTTCTTCTAGGCTGTCCAGTTTGGCAGCATATAATTTTGAGTCTATTCCTATTGTATTTCTCTTGTGTTGGTTGTTATTTCTCCTCTTTCATTTCTGATTCTTTTTTTTAATTTTATGAGTCTGCCTAGAGGTTTGCCAATTTTGTTGATCTCAAAGAGCCATCTCCCAGTATCATTGTTTTTGTTTTGTTTTCATTTCATTTATTTCTGCTCTATTATTTGCTTCCTTCTACTGGTTTTGGGTTTGATTTGTTCTTTTTTCTAGCTCTTCAGGTGTAAGGTTAGGTTGTTTGAGATTTTTGTTTGTTTGTTGAGGTAGGCCTGTATTGCTATAACTTCCTTCTTAAAACTGCTTTTGGTGTACCCTAAAGATTTTGGACTATTGTGTTTTCAATTTCATTTGCCTCCATGCATTTTTTTACTTACTCTTCAATTTCTTAATGGACCTATTCATTGTTTAGTAGCATGTTATTTAACCTTGTGTATTTGTGTTCTTTCCAGCTTTTTTCATGTGGTTGATTTCCAGTTTCATGGTGTTGTGGTTGGAAAAGATGCATAGTATGACTCTGATCTTCTTGAATCTGTTGAGATTTGTTTCGTGGCTTAATTTATGATCTATTCTGGAGATGATCCATCTACACTTGAAAAGAATGTGTATTCTGCTAGTTTTGGATGGAATGTTCTGAAAACATCTCTAGATTAATCTGGTCCAGTGTGTCATCCAAAGCCATTGTTTCCTTGTAGATTTTCTGTTTGGATGATCTGTCCACTGATGTAAGTGGCATGCTACAGTCCCCTAGTATTGTATTACTATCGTTTAGTTCCTTCAGGTTTGTTATTAACTGCGTTATGGTATTTGGGTGTTCCCATGTTGGATGCATAAATATTTACAATTTACTATCCATCTTGGTGTCAACCTCCTCGGGTTGATTTTGTTAGGTGCTGTCTGTGCCTCTTGAACCTGGATTTCTGTTCCCTGACCCTACTTCAGGAAGTCTTCAGCTATTATTGTTTCAGAATCATTTTCTGCTTCCTTCTCTCTCTTCTCTTTCTGGGATCCCTATAATGTGAATGTTATTGTTCTTGATAATTCCCCAAGTCTTATTTTCATTTTTAATTATTATTTTTCTCTCCTATTCAGCTTGGTTGCTTTCCATTACTCTGTTCTCCAAATCTCTGGTTCTTCTGCTTCCTCTAGTCTACTATTTATTCCACCTTGTGTATTTTGAATTCCAGTTACTGAGTTCCTCATCTGCAGTTTTATGGTTTCTTTTTGTTAAGAGTCTCACTGAGATCTTCCACTCCTGTCTCAAGTCCAGTGGATATCTTTATGATCATTACTGTAAATTCCCTATCAGTAATATTTCTTTTCTCTGTTTTGCTTAAATCTGGTGCTGTGATTTTATCCTGTTCGTTCATTTGGGACATATTTCCCTGTCTCTCATCTTGTCTAACTCTCTGTTTCTGTGTGTTATGGAAGTCACCTACAACTCCTGCTCTTGAAAGTAGTAGTCTTGTGAAGAAGAGGTACTGTAGTGCCCTGCAGTGCACTGTCCTCTGTTCACCAGAACCTGGCACTTGAGGAATGTCTCCTATTTGTTGTGTGCACCCTGCTGTTATGATTGAACTGCTTTTTCCTTTGGCCAAGTCAACTGCAATGGCTCTCTTTTCCTGTTGTGGTCAGGGTTTGTTTGGTCCCTGTGTTGTTAGTAGGCCAGTCTGGGACCACCTCGGGGTTGGGTCAGTCCATGCATTTTCCAGAGAAGCAGTATCAGTGAATTTCAGGGCACTTTCCCTGTATTGTCCCTTGTGAAGCTTTTGTTGGCAGGCAAGGCCTGCAGTTGGACCAGATCTCTGCCCCTAGCAATGTGCCTGGCTGTACTTGGACTGGTGGGTGTGGTTATCTTCACCTCTACCCAGGTCAGGAGTCACTTTGGAGGGTGCTGGTCCTACTGGGGCTGCTTGCACATGACATACTTGTGGCACTGCTTTGGATGTGCTCTGGCCAAGGGTCTATTGGGAGGGAGCAGGTCCAGAGGAAAGCATGAGGGGGGGGTCACACTGTGTTAGCAGGGTTTGTGTGGGTCTGCTGTGTGAAGAGACCTAGAGGCGGAGCCTGGCTGGAGAGGGTGAGTTTGCAAGAAAACTCAAGCGTGGGATGCACTGTTAACAAGTTATGTATTGAATGTGAGCACTAAGGTGGTTCCAGCAGGTATCCATGTATCTAGGCTGTGGGGGTGGGAGAGGAAAATGGTGGCTTTCCAGCTCTTTTGCTTCTGGAGAAGTCTTCCAATGGTCAATCCCTGCCCCTCCAGCACACTCTCTGCGGTTACTAAACAACCCTCCCTCCGGTAGACTCCAGGCATTATTCAAGATGTGGTTTCTATGCTGTATTTCTGAGGGGCTGTCTGTTGTTCTATTTCTATAAGGGCAGAGTTTCCGTTTCCTCTCATCCTTCCAGCTCTCTCAGAGCCGACTGATTTGTAAAGTTCAGATGTTAAGCCTGCTAATTGTAAGAGTTCATGAAATTTCCCCCGTCTCGCTTTCAAAGCCAAATGTTATGGGGATTCCCTGTGCCTGGGGTGCCTGGCATGAGGCTCTATTTCTCTCCTCTCTCCAAGTCTGCCATCCCTCCCTCCCATGGGTCTGTTAGCTCCCAAACATGTTTCTATTCTTTCTAGTCTCCACTCTGTGGCCTCTTCTCTACATTTAGCTGTGAAGTTTGTTTTGCCAGTCTTCATGTTATTTTCTGAGTTATTTATACTGATGTGGATTTTATCTAGCTGTATCCATGGGATAAGGTAAGGTTCCTGCTACTCAGCCATCTTTTCCATTGTTTTTTGTTTGTTTATTTGTTTTGAACAGGTAATGCTTACATGTAGGTAAAAATTCCAAAGGGAGAAACTACCCTAAAAGCCCTGTTATATTTAAGTGATGAATCACTAAATTTTACTCCTGAAATCATCATCACTATATGTTAACTAACTGGGATTTAAATAAAATATAAAAATTTAAAAAAATAATTATAAACCTAAAAATAAATAAATCAGTAAGAGCTCTGATCCCATCAGCTCATCCTACCATTGCCTGTGAGGCAGGAAGGAGGGATAAAATCCTCATGTTACAAATAGGATAACTTAATCTAGCGAATATCAAGAAAGCTTACCTGCTTCTCAGCCATCATTACAGCCTTCTTCTGTACTTACAACCTCTACTTCTCCATGTTCTGGAGAGATGATGGTCCCCTCTCAAACTTTACACTGAAAACTGAGCTAATCTAGTTCAAATTCTCTCATCCATTATCCTGTCCATCTAAAATGTTCTATTTACATCTGAAAATATTTCAGTTAATCTTGTTTTACATTTTTGGCCCCTATCCTTTGCATGCCCTATGATTTATCCTCTTTCCTCTATGAATTATTCATCTTGTCTCTAAAGTCTTCAGTCCTTCCTAGTTTATCCACTTCCCTCATCATCAGGTTTCCCATTGTGACCCATAGGATTGAAAAGTCCTTCACTTGCCCTTCCAGTTTATTCCCTTAAGTTACCATCCTACTTCTCTCCTTTCTATCACAGTCACTCACCACCCCTCCTCATGCCCCTAGAATGGATGAGTGAAATCCACTGATCTGTTCTCGGTGCTTAAGCTCACTGATCTCTGCAGCATATAATACTGCTGGCCATCTCCCTTCTCTTGCTACCCTCTTGTTCGTGGCTCACCCCCAGTTCTCTTGTGCTCTTCCTTGGCCCTATTTCTCCTGCCTCTCCTCTAACTGAAAGAATGCCTTCAAATCTAGAACCTAGACCTTTTCTTTTCTCTTCTCTCTCTCTTCCCCACCTCCCTCTCTCCCTCCCCACCCCACACACCCCTTACAGATGTTCCTCTGCTCAAAGCATCATCTATCACCCCTACGGCTCCCAAATCCACACTGCTAGCCCGCAGTACTAGTCTTGTATTTTAGCTTCCTTGGCATCTTCATTAAAATAAAAATAATCATTTTCTCCTCAACCCCCCACATGGCCATACATGGAGACTCCTATTTCTGAAAATATTACTCATATTTTCCCAGGTACCTAGGAATGAAATGTCAAAGTCATCTTGGACTTTCCCCCCTCCCTGCAAATCCAAATGATTCCTCTTTAAGGCGTGCTTGAACTCAAATAATGTTTTGGTTAAATTATGTTTAGCAGAGCAGAACTGTTGTGCTAAATTATGTCCCACAGTATTTCTATGACATTTTATTAAGGGTAAGGGTGTGTAACAGGTACACTGAAAACTGGGAAGTGCTGAAGTTGGGAAGTCAGGACTCTGCAGTTCCTTTTCTCCCACTCCCACTTAAGAATGATCTAGCTATTATATTAAAAAAATAACCTGGCTATTAAAACTCTGAGCTGCTCTGGTGGTTATATGGCTCAACACAATTTAGGCCATCATGGAACAAGTGTGGAGTCATTTCAAAGAGAAGACACTATAAAAAGTAAAAAAGTAAGAAGTGCTAAAAATTTTTCAGTTTACGGAGTAAAAAAGCAAGCTGCATCAAAACTCTGCTGCTTGGGGTTTTGTTTATATGCTGACAAATTCTTGAGTATATTCCTCTGTCATCTTCTATACTTTAAAAAGGCCAAGAAATCTGAAAAACTTCTTACCATCACTGCCTCGAGATGATATCGATTTCACATCAATGGACTCTTTCCTCCTGTTCTTGTATCTAAATGAATGAGACTCTAAGGATTGCAAGTTAATAATGGAAGGTGAGTTTTCAGCTTATTTACAGGTGCAGTTTAGACACATTTCCCCCTCATTAGCCAATGAAAACAAGGTTCCTTTTTAAGCACTATAAAATACTTTCAAGAAACAGCAAACCACTTTCTCTTCAACTCATCAACAACACAGAATTATCAATCATATTAATTGCAAAATGATACTCTTTTCTTACGGCTGTTATGTAATGGTAATAGGCTTTTTATCAAGAGTTCTTTAGTTCCATTAATAAAATATCTTTTTTAAAAATAAGTATTAAAACTTGGGTGAAATTTGGGGGGGGGGGTTCATTTCAACCTGAAGGACAGTAAATGTAACTGGGTCAGGAAGGCTGTTACAGAGATATTTGCAGAAGTAAAATACCAGTGAAATACAAAGAAACTTGAATTTATTTGAGAAACTACTATGGACTAATTTTAGGCCCCTCTGAAAGGTCAGTCCACCAGATGGTCTTCTAGGTTCTCCTTAGGATGTGATTTCATCAAATGAGGCATAGTGAAAATCCCAGGAAGGAAGGGAAGAAAAGGCAGGTTTATAATCCCAACTATTTCCACAACTCACTTTTGTCCCTATTTTCTAAGGGGAATAAAGCACTTCAATTCTGCACAAGTCTTTGCTGACTTTAACCCTCAAAATGTGCTGTCACATTAATGAAATATTGAAGTATGGAGTGAGGACAAAGAGATAAAAATGTCAGGGCAATAGAATTACCTTCAGAAACATGCATTTTCAGGGCATTGGCTTCTTGTGGGAGTAACCCAGTAGCAAGGAAAAAAAATTAATCACAACACAGAATTGTTCCCCACTGTGCCAAGACAGGAGGCACACACGCAGGTTCCAGCAGGAAGAATACATTTCTTATACATCAGTAAGTGTTCATATTCCAAGAAAGAAGAAAAAGGTGCAATAACGCTCTTTGAAGAAGTGTCTATTAATGGTGGGCCTGGGGGCTCAGTCAGTTCTAGGTGTCCAACTCTTGATTTCGGCTCAGGTCATGATCTTGCAGGTCATGAGTGTGAGCCCCACATCAGGCTCTGCACTGACAGTGTGGAGCCTGCTTGGGATTCTGTCTCTCTAACCTCTCCTCCTGCTCCTCCTCCACTCTCAATCTCTGTCTCAAAATAAATATAATATGAAAAAAAAATTGTCTATTAACACCAAAAAAGGCACAAGAGAGAGCAGTAGATAATAAAACCAGTTCCAGAGTAACTTGCCAAAATTCAAGTCTCCAGAATGCCATCATCTACTAGCTGTATAACCCTGGCAGTGTTAACTTCTCTGTATTTCGACATCTCCATCTATGAAGTGGGGATGGTTACAGCATCTCATTCTTAAGTTGCTGTGTGACATAAATGAGTTAATCCATGCAAAGCACTTAACACAGTGCCTGCTACACAGGAAGTATGTAGTTTGTACTGGCTAGTGGTATTAATTACATCTGGTCATTTGCAAATATACCTTCTTTCTAGGCATACATGGGATCAGGTTATAATATTGTTCTCTTGTCTGTTTTCACTTTTTTTCTGGATCAGCTTTTTAACTATTTTAGAGTCCTAAAAATTCTGATTCAATTAAAAAAGTTAAATCATCAACTAAACTTGAATTATATTTATACAGCTCAAGACAAAAGCAGAATTATTATGAAGTTGATCTAAACACCTTAACCATACAGCCTTGTCTTGCGGATTCTGCCTTAATAATTTTCCTGGCCGTGGATAGGAGTTTCAGTATTTGTAAAGACACCTATAAGTAGTGGTACTTTAAATGACATTGTTAGGATCATATGGCATCTTTCAAACCCTGAAAAACTAACAGTGGTGACTCACAAAACATTCCTTTTTAGCCTCTTCAGGGACTTAATAATCATATACATTCCTAGCCTTTACCACATAATAAATTAAATCTAACTGAATAAAGATTTAAGATTATTCAAGACTGGGGTGCCTGGGTGCCTCAGTGGGGTTGAGTGTCCAACTTCGGCTCAGGTCAAGATCTCATGGTTCGTGAGTTCGAGCCCTACGTTGGGCTCAGTGCTGAGGGCTCAGAGCCTGGAGCCTGCTTTGGATTCTGTGTCTCCTCTCTTTGCCCCTCCGCTGCTCATGCTGTCTCTCTCAAAAAATAAACACTAAAAATTTTTTTTAAAAAGATTAAATTCCAAATTAAAAAAACCTCATTCCTGAAAATGTAGTTTCTAAATAAAACCAAAGTAGGGAAGTTAGTCTCATGACTGTGACCATGCCTGGCTAGCTGAATACTAAATCGTTCACTAGAAATTACTCCAAGATATATAATTCTTGTTCTTCCTGATATTATCTCAGCTGAAATTAAGAGAATGTAGCAACAGAAATTACTAAAAGTTTGGAGAAATTATTCTTCAATAAAGGCCATTTAAGTCGAATAATTCATTATTCATTCTCCCAAGAGATGCTTTGGAATGAATTTACAGACCAAAGAAAACAAAGATAAAGAAAATTTAAATATCTTTATTCAATGGCAAAAGGGGATATAGTGTCAATAATTAAAAAAAAAATAGCGAACATTTACTGAGCACCTACTCTGCACCAGACATTGTGCTTCAATATTTACTTTAAATGTAAATTATCTTATGTGATCATTATAACAATTCTGAAAGTACATAGTACAATCTTCATTTTACCAGTGAGAAAACTTGAACTTGGAGAGATTATGTAGGTAGCTCCAAGTCAAAGAGCACGTCAAACAGTGGAACCTATGTTTTGTAAGATGGGATAGTTTCAATTTATCAATGTTTTGGGAGCATTTGTTGACCCTAATATGTGCAAGGCAATGCTGGGCACAGTAAAGGATATGAAAATGCTTGCAACATTTTTTGGCGCCTAATAAGTTAATTAAAATAATACTCTTACAAGAGATAAACATAAAGAGAGAGAGAGGCAGAGGCAGAGGCAGAGACAGAGACATAGAGGGAGGGAGGGGCAAGGGCAGAGGAAGGAAAAGGGTAGAGGAAGGGAAGGAGGATATCCAAGAGTTAAATGGCAGGTACAGTCACATATTACATACACTTTCTCCTTTATTTTTCATAACAATGAGATGCACATTGTTAATTCATTTTACAAGCGAAGAAACTAAAGCTCAGAAAGATGAACTTGAGTCTGAGTATGTTAAAATATGGTCCATCCTAGAGTCAAGGAGAGGGACTAAATAGGTAGCCCAGGGTCTAACTTTATGCACTAATGGTTGGGAAAACCACTAACAGAGGAAAGAATATCGTGTGTGTGTGTAGACGAATAAGAAGTTTAAATTTCTGATAGACTGAATTTTGCCTCTAATGATCAGAGAAATCCAGACCTTTCAAATATAGAAGTCATCTAGTCATTTCCTCGTTTGAGGGTTGAGGAATCCAAGGGTCAGACAGAGTACTGCCCAAGGTATAAAGCAAGGGAGTGGGGACTGAAATGGGACCTCAGTGCTCTGGACTTCCATGACAGGCCAACCCACATTTTCTAATTAGACCGATAACAAGAGCTACGAAGAACGGGTAGCCTGACCAGGGTGTAACAACAGTGTCTCTCTCCTGGACTTCTGGCTACTCTCTTTTTAAGGTGTATCTGCTCTATATGGTCTCCAGCCAGTAAAATAAAACCAGCATGATAAAGGCATTCAGTAGAAAAGGTTGCCATGAATGAAGATTTCAAACTTTTGAAGGGATTCTGCTTTTATGCTGGCTCTCCAGCCTTCCAATATCCACACTCAGATTTTAGTAATCCACATTCTGGGGTGGTGAGTGTCAAACTACATTTCTTCAGAGTAATTTACAGACTTGAACCCACAAATGCCAGTGGAGTGAATTTGAAGTATTCTCACCTGTCTGAGAATTGTCTCCTGAATCACGATGAACCTTGTGAATCTAAAGTTGTTCAAAAAGTTTGGTAAAACAAGAGAAAGAAATTTTAAATATGGTATTAGCCACATTTCCAGCCAAACAATTTAATCAAAAAGCTCTGAGGACTCAAGAAATCAAGAAGTTACACTGATAATATAAACAGATGAAAGATGTACATCAAGTGATAATACTATAAATGCTCCATTACATTCAGACACTTATAGAATGGCTGAACCTGAGAGCAAGGAGATACCCAAGGGATGCACTTTTTACCCAGGACATCTACACCTCCACTCAGCTGTTCCCATTTTGACCATTTGCAAAAATGCAGAAAGACAAAAAGCCGTAACAAAAAAATTTTTATAAAGCTAACATAATCTATTTAAATTTCAGATGGGTTATAAAATTTTTCTGTAGTATAAAAATAATCGGAATTTAAGCCCAGGATTTCTAAAAAACCATCCTAAAAGTCTCTTCCAATGCTCCTCAATTATGGACAGAGTCATTTTACAAAATGTATATTCACAAGATCTGAACTTTGGATGCAGCTTAACACTAGTTCCTTCTCATTATCAGATTTTTTGTGTGTGCTAATGATTTTATGCTAATGCTCACTAAATATCCATCAAATGATGAATGAAGTCATTAACACTAGAAAACAATATACACGCTTTGGGATGTTGCATTTTTTCTGTTTATAAGTGAGACACTGTTACCAAGTTGCATTTAGCTGTATCACGCTTAAAATCATGCTCCTTTCCTGCTAACTCCACCTCCTTCCAGTCGTTTGGACAACCAAGCCTTTGCAGCCACTCAATGAATGGGATAAGTTAACTTGAAAAACAAGACAGGTGAGTGTGTGGTACTATGAAGGAAGATTAGTATGGTTTAGCAACATCAGCTGTAATAAATAGCCACAAGTTGCCTATATATCAGATAACCGGTACAACGTTCCAGGTTGACTGAACCATTGAAAAATAATCATGTAAAACTGACATGTTAAAAATGTCAAAACTGACATGTCAAAATGTGACTGAGGGCTGTGACGCATAGCAGGTCATAAAAATGGGATCCATAATTATGGGACCTTGTTATTTCTTCTGTGAATGGCTGCTTTATATATTTTCTTTACAGATGAAGACCATTTGTTACAAAGCTACCGAGTACAGTGTGAATTTTTGATACTCTACCAAATGAATACAACTTTTGCCTTGCAAACTGTTTTCTCAATCAACTTTAGCTCAAAAGCAAGTTATCTTTAAATATTTGGCTTTTCTCTCTGAATCACAATACATCTCTCCCGTAGGAACAAAGTCCTATGACTTCCCTGGTTATCTAAAAAGGCCATTGGCTCGTCTATTGGTGACCCCCACAGGCGAGATGACTGAACTGGGGACCTCCTACAAGGTCAACGTGGCCTTTGTGTTCTGTCTGTCTTCATCTTTGGGCCAGATGAAGCCCAAGGTCTAGTATATACATAGCCCAACTCTGCCTTTAGGATGGAAGTGCCTTGGTCCCAGATGGGAGAAGAGGCAACAGGGAGGAGAGATGAAACGTACCAGGTCCATCTTCTGAGGTAACTTCCTTTCTTTCTCCAAACAGGATGTGGCATTTGGCACTTTTGGAGCTGAACTCACTGCACCCCCTCCACAACTGCTGCCCCTGAAATGGTTCATCTAACTCTGCTGGATTCTCTTCTAGGGACAGTAACACAGACTGGACATACCCTTCGATGTCACTTGCTCTACAAGCAGAGGATGTGCAGGGCAAGGTTAGCACCTGCCACCCAGGATCCTATTCCATGACTCATTTCATGATCCACTGCAGCAGGTGCGGTGCCTAAGGACCTTTGCTGCTTACTCTCCAGCTGTGCTAAGTTTTTTCAGAGCTTCCACACTCAGGTTATCTACATTACTCTTCTGAATAATGTCCTTCCCCACAACCCTTTTACAACTAAAGATTCACCTGGATGAAAAAATCTTTAAGAATTTGAATTTTTTTCTTGGAGGTCTAAACCCACCAGTCATTTATGACTTGGCATGAATGACTCCACTAAAGTTATTTTCTCATAATTCTTGGTCATGCTCACTGAGGAAGTAAACAGAGAATGAGCATTTCCATAGTTTGTTGTTCTCTGGTAGGCAGCCAAGCAGGGAACATGGGCCTGAGCACTGTAGGGTAGGAAGAGAGATAAGTCAACTATGCCCATGCATGACAATAGCACCCTTGTCACCATTAAGAATCTTGATGGTTTGGGGCACCTGGGTGGCTCAACTGGTTAAGCATTCAACTCCTGATTTCAGCTCAGGTCATGATCTCACGGTTTGTGGGTTCAGGCCCCATGTTGGGCTCTGCACTCACGGCATGGAACCTGCTTGGGATTCTCCCTCTCTCTGCCCCTCCCCTGCATACACTCTCTCTCTCAAAATAAATAAACATACATTAAAAAAAAAGAATATTGGTGTTTCATGGGAAGAGGTCAAAATAACAACATTAAAAAGAATTTGAAAGAAGGTGATTTTCAACCCTAATGATGACTTTTATGAATTCAATACTGTGGATGGTGTAGACATAGCAAGAGAATTAAAATGAGAAGTAGAGCCTGAACCAGGGTGATCTCTGTGTGTTGAACCCTGAGACCCCACGGCTTGCACCCACTTCAGCTTCAGGTGTCCTGCCAGGGCATCCCCTGTGCAGAAAGTTTCAGTAACGCCTCAGAATATGCATACATCAGCTCTAGTCAGCCAACGACACCAGGCACACACAGTCTACACAGGGGATAACAATACACAACATTCCTTCTAGGTTAGAAGAGTAGCTGTTATACCTAATTCACAAAAACAAACATAGAAAGTCAAGCAAAGTAAGGAGATGACAGTGAAGGAACTTAGTGAGAGCTTCAACAAAGAGAAATATAAAAAAGGACCAATCAGAGTTTCAGAATAAAATAACTGAGATGAAAAATACACTAGAGGAAATCAACGGTAGATCAGAGGATGCAGAAGGTATCAGCCATCAGGAAGGCAGAGTAATGGAAAACACCCAAACTGCACAACAAAAGGAAAGAAGAATTTTTTAAAAATGCGGATAGGTTAAGGGATCTCTTTGACCATGTCAAGAGAACAAACATTAGTATTATAGGGATCCCAGAAGAAGAAGAGAGAGAAACAGCATAAAGCTTACTTGAAAAAAATAATAGCTGAAAGCCTCCCTAACGTGGGGAACAAAACAGATACCAGTTTCAAGAGGCACAGAGAGTTCCACATCATGAACATCACAACACCTAATAATCAAAATGTCAAAGTTTAAAAACAAAGAGAATTTGAAAAACAGCAAGAGACAAATATTTATGTACAAGAAAAACCTCATAAGGCTGTCAGCTGATTTTTCAGTAAAACGTTGCAGGCCAGAAGGGAGAGGCATCACATATTCAAAGTGCTAAAAGGAAAAAAAAACCCTGCAACCAAGAATATTCTGTGTAGCAAAATTATCACTCAGAACTGAAGGAGAAATAGAATTTCCCAGACAAAAAAGTAAAGGAGTTCATCACCATTACACCTGCCTTACAAGAAATGTTAAAAAGACCTCTTTAAGTAGAAAAGAAAGGACTATAATTAGAAACAAGAATATTACAAAAGGCAAGGGGATTCACAAAATAAAAATTTGTAAAAAGATGTGCACATACACAAAATGTGGAGCAGGGACAGTAAAAGTTCTTTCAGAATGTGTTCAAACTTAAGTGACCATCAACTTAATATAGACTGTTACATACTTAGGAAAACCTGTAATAGATACACATATACAAAAAGAAAAAGAAAACCAAGCATAACACTAGAGAAAATAAGAAATCACAAGGAAAGAGAATAAGAGGAGAAAAGGAATAGAGTATTACTAGAAAAACAATCAGAAAACAAAAGAAAATGGCAATAAATATCCATCAATAATTAATTCTAAAGGTAAATGGTCTAAGGGCTCCAATCTAAAGACTGAATGGGTGACTGAATGGATTAAAAAAAAAACCACCTGAAAAACAAAAACAAGGCCCATCTATATGTTTCCTAAAAGACAATCACTTCAGACCTAAAGACACATACAGACTGAAATGAAGGGATGGAAAAAGATATTCCATGTAAATGAAAGTGGAAAAAAAGAGCCAGGTAGCATACTTATATCAAAGTAGACTTTAAAAGGAAAGACTGTAACAAGAGAAAAAGGAAGGCATTACATAATGATTGAGGGATCAATCCAACAAAAGGACATACTATTAAATACCTACGCACCAACAAATTTAAGTATCTACATACCCAACGTCAATCTAACAAGAAAATTTAACAATTTTAAATACCTATGCACCCAACATTGAACCGCCTACATATATAAAGCAAATATTATCAGACCTAAAGGAGGAAATTGACAGAAATCTGACATAAGACTAGGAGACTTTTATAACAGTGGATAGATCATACAGGCAGATAATCAGTAAGAAAACAGTGGCTTTGAACAACATATTATACCAGATGGACTTAACAGACATATACACAATATTCCATCCAAAAACAGTACAGTACACATTCTTTTCAAGTACTTAATGGAACATTCTCCAGGACAGATCACATGTTAGGCCTCAAAACAAGTCTCAATAAATTTAAGAAAACTGAAAAATACCAAGCATCTTTTCCAACCACAACAGTATGAAACTAGAAATCAATTACAAGAAAAAAAAATGGAAAAAAAAATCCACAAACACATGGAAGCTAAACAACATGCTACTAAACCACCAATGAGTCAACAAAGAAGTCAAAGAGGAGATCAAAAAAATATGTGGTGACACATGAAAATGAAACATATTGGCCCAAAATCTTTGGGAGAGAGCAAAAGCAGTTTTAAGAGGGAAATTTACAGTGATAGAAGCCTACCTCTAAAAACAAACAAAATCTCAACAATCTAACCTTACACCAAAAGGAACTTAAAAAAATAAATAAATAAAAGGAAACCAAAAGCCAGTAGGGAGAAGGAAATAATGA